CATAGGCTCTGAGACTAGATCTCCTCTCTCTAGCAATCTCTTTCAGTTCAGGAATAGCAGCTCAGAAGCAAGTTGCTCAACAGAGCCCGCAGAGTACAACCCAGTGTCAGTCTTTCTAGTTTAACAATCTAATATTAAAAAAAAAAAAAATTCCTGATTGGCTCATCAGCTGTTCTTGAAAGAGATAAAAAACAATCTAGATGAGAATGGAACTATGTGCTCAGGGAACTGTCACTTCCTTTACAGTCTGGTCAACACCCAACCATTCATTTATGCCTTGTAGGCATTTTTTGTCTCTCATAGTCTCAAGACAACACTCAGATCATAAGAGAAATGTGAGCAGGTGCACCTATTAAATATGTAAACTACACATCCTCTTCCACTTACTCAGAAGATGTATTTCTAAGGAGTGTGGAAAGTCAACTAATAGAAAGAAAGACAGGTAGGGGGAAAAAAAATCTTACGTGCATTTTTTTTTAAGCACACAAGAATCTCAGCACGACAGCTCTCTGCCGAAAATAAATGCAAGCCAATTAAAAATTCCGTTTCTTTTCTTTAAGCTAATTCCTCAGGTTTTGCTAATTAGCAACTAATAGTTCTGTCATTTGAGCTGAGGAACATAAGGAAGAATACCAGTGGTGTGTTTTCAATCAAAGTATTTGCATGGAGGAATGAATCATATTTTCCATGAGGAATTACTGCTTGGGAGCAGTTGGGGGCAGAAGAAAAGCAATCTTCACACAACTATAAAACTGTAAACGAGACCTGAACTTTTGGAAAAGGAGGCATTTTCCTGCCCTGCCCCCTTTAGCAAAACCAGCAGAGGACCTCTAAGATGCGGTTAATGAATCCAAAGGCACTTTGCACACAGATCCCTGCGAGAACAGCTCAAAAACTAGACTTCACAGTAAGAGGGAAGACAATGAAACACATGTTTTCTGTAAAAGGAAAGAGAATAAAAGTTAAGTGTTGGTCAGGGTAGAGGAATGCTTGAACTTTTATGTCACCTGCCTATGCAAGTTTATAAAACAATAAATGCACAGCAGTAAATGAAAGCAGGGATGAGGGAAGTTTGGAATATCTGGCTACAGATGGAGCAGGGGCAGAAAACATTTCTGAGAAATCTCCGGGCAGGAGATGGGGACTTTCATCCTGACTTCATTAGAAGCAAATCGGGGACCCCCACTCAGCCTCTCTCATAGTCTCCCAACTTATRAAGCACTAGTGAGCCTAGAGCTGAGGGCCTGTCAGCACCACACCAGGTCTGAGCCATGCAACTTGCATGTCTACCTTCTTGCATTGATATATAGCCCTGCCACAGCTTCCCTTCATGAAAAAAAAAAAAAATCCCCATACCCCCCAGGAGGATTTTATTCCGAACATATGTTGTGAATGTTTGAAGTGCCCGAGCTTATCCCTGGGTTTTCTTTTGTTGTTGTTGTTTTTTTCTTTTCTTAAGTCAAACTCACAAAACCTAAAATGCTTTGAATTCTGCCTCAGTGCAATTTGTGAAGATGCAGCACTGCATACCCAAGTATAATACAATCTTGTGCAATAAAAATTTTTCAGATGTCCTTTTGAAGGGGAGGGGAGAAAAAGACTTTTTTCCCCCCTTTTCCGGTCTTACAGGAAACCTACCCACACTTTAGAAATACAAAGTTAGTATATATAGAAGCACAAATTAGGCATCTTGAGATGTCTACATTTTCCAACCACAGAGAAATGAAGGAATTACTGTGCGTGTTCACACAGCCAGCTGCACTGGACTGGGAGTCTTTTCTCTCCAACTGCCCCCATAAAGCTGGCAAATAACTCCAGGGGAAGGGGAATAGCCTACAAAGATGTTTCCAGGCCTTGAGCTACTGAAGATCTGCAGTGCACTTGTATGACGGACAGTACAGTACTGCAAGACAGAGACACAAGATATATTAAGATGATCAAAACTGTATGTCTTGTCTTCAAAAGAGGATAGTTTTACAGATGCAATTGGAAACTAAAGTAAAATTCTTAGAAAATTGATCACCTTAGTTCACATCAGTCATTAGCTTTGCCTGGATAATTAAATCCATGTGAGATAAATAGATTTTATTATAAAGTGCCCCCAAAATTCTCATGAAACTGGTAGAAGATTCAATAACTCAACAGGGTTCTAGGAAATTGAGTCATATACTGTCTTAGTTTAGGATGTCTTTCAATGATTTAAGATAAATAAAAAATACTGTATCTTTTTGTTTTTCTGTATGATTTTTGTGTTTGTGACATAAAATACTTTCTCCCAAGAATTTAAGATGGTAAGGCTTCTCAAACAAATAAAGCTTTATAATGTCTTCGCTTATAAAAAACTTACAGCCAATCTAGGGGGTCAGCTGGGAAGGACTACTTTTAGGGGAGTCACAACACAGAGTTCTAAGCAGGCCAGCAGTTTTTCTGAGACAATCTGTTAATTTTCTAATCAGTGTTTCTAGGTGACTGGGTCTGGCAGAAATGAAGCCATCTACGCCGAGCTTCACTGGAACACTCGCAAAAACCACTTGGTTTGGTTTAGAGAGTAAACAAATGACATGATGATGGTGATGTTGGTGGAGAGAAAGAGAAAAAAAAAAAAAAACAAATGAAGAAGAGGAATAGGATAAGAAAAAAGAGAACATAATAATTTTGAGGAACCTACTATGTGCCAGAGATTTTACTGAATGCTTAGTAAAGAACACCATGGTGCAGGCAATCATATTATTCCCCTTATTCAAGAGCAAGAAAATGATTCTTAAGTCAATGCACTTGGTCAAGGCCTCACAGCAGCAAATGGATAGCTGGGACTTGAACCCATATTCCCTGAGTCCTGAGACAATCTGTGCAAGCTCTAGGATTCCCTGTTTGTTTTATCTAGGTAACGATGTAATTTATTTATGACCAATTTAGGGGACATATTGGGATAGTAGTCACAACTGCGTTTGCCATTTAGTTACAGAAAATGTATTTAGCTTATATGTTATTATACAATATTAATTCTGCTTTGAAAATAAAGGGGGGGGGACTGAAGAATAACCACAGTATGGGTGCTGTGTCCTCAAAACAGAGGGACAGTGAATGATTCAAATTCCACTGCAAGCTCACCAGTGCCCAGGGTTAGCTACTATCACATTGCATGGAGAGAACCAGCCCCTCCAATGACTGGTAGAGGGTTGAATGGGGCAACYGTTGAAACAAACCAACCAAGAACAAGCTGCAAGTTGAACGGCACAGAGAAAGCTAACGGTCCTCTGCCCACTACCATCAGCCAAAAGAGAAGTACTCATCAGCTGTCCTGACTAATTAAATACCTCACTAATTAGTGGGCATCTGGAAAAGAAAACAAAACCTCGCTATGAGAAAAGTTTGTGTTCACACATAAGAACAGAAACAACTCGAGGGGCTTGTGGGCAAACATCTAGACTTGATTCAGGGAGCAAAAAAAAAAACCCTTAGTAGCAGAGTAGGGTATACAAATACAGGTAGGGCATATGTAGAAAGCCTGGATGTTTTCTTTATGCATAGTATATAACAGAGATTCACAAGAGTATGTGCTCAGAGAAAAATCCTACCCACATTGTTTTTAAAATCTTCATGGCTAAAAGAAATGAGAACAAAATAAACCTTGAATTAGGGAAGGAAAGGCACTTGCCCAATACGTCTCCTCCTTATTTCTGAATTTCTAGAAGGAACCTCTGCAGCAGCAGGACTGAGAAACACTTTTTAAACACAGAAGCAGGAGCCTTTACAAAAAAAAAAGCTTAAAGAATGTATAAGACTTTTCCCTCCATGCTTCTGAACAATTCTTTAAAAATGCCYTTTCCATTTAAAAAATAATGCATCTTCCATCTTTCCCAACAATATAATCTGGTGGGGGGTGGAAGGCAGTGCCTGAGACTTCAGGTTGTTTCGAAGCCCTTTGATCTGAGGAGTGAGCATTCCCCTTCGCTGCAAGCCAACTAATGAAGGGATGAAATTAGCTTTTATCCTGGGCACTTTCTTGCGCAAAAAAACATGCACTAATCAGCTGTCCTCACTAATCAGTCATCTGGCTAATGACCTTTTGCCTTAAAACACTAAAATTTCTGAATGATGTGGAAAAAGGGAAACACAAACCAGTCCCCTTCTCTGGAGCTCAATGGATCATCTGGAACTGGAGCCSAGAAGGTTAAAAGGCAAGTCTGTATCCCGGCAAGGTGATAAATCTGTAATCAAGAGCTGTGAGCTTTGGCACCTCAATATGAACTTCATTACTCCACAACCAAATTGTACTTTTTTAACTAGAAACAGGCCAGAAATAAATTCAGCCTTTCTATATTTTTCTTTATATTTTACCTTTGGAGAAAGTCATCATATACTTGTGTTCAGAATCCTACTCAATTTCTTAAACTTTCTTAGTGCTAGAAAAAGAGCTCCCAATGTCTCTGGCATGCTGGTTAGAGAGAAGGACTCATGAAAAAAATCTTCCATTAATGAATTTGGCACTGATTTGTTAAAAGTGGTTTGTTTTAACAAACCATTAAACATGGGAACAGCCAAAATCATTAAATCAAAAATCATTAAAAATGGGAACAGCTGCTATTAAAGACATCTCCGAATGCAGCCTGCTTTAATAATTGCCTACCAACAACCAATTTTTTCTCCTGCAGAGTCTCCTTACATGGAGCAAATCTGGTTCTAGTTCCCAGAAAAGGCCCATGTGGATTCATCACTAATGGACCATCTTCCTGAAGGCCACCTCAAAAGGCCTAAAATTGCTTAGACATGAAGAAAAATGCCTTTAAGAAGAGTGGACAGGAAGAAGTGGAGGGAGAAAAGTGAAAAAAAAATTAAACATTTTTATAGCTTATACAAGACCAATAATTCATACAGGGCGTGTGCATGCTTGTGCATGCATATGCACACGCACACACACACACACACACACACACACACACACAGCCCCCCACTCCCATGGCTCCTGGAACAAGTGTCAACCAGAAGGAACTACTTACGATAGTGGGGCTCCATATAACCATTCCTGGGGTCCATGGCAAACACCGTCCCACGGTAAGGTACCGAGGGCTCCGCCAAGTGTGGTAGGGATCCATGGATCTCCTTCTTGATCAGTGAGGCCCTCTCGTCACTAGACGTTGAAGGCTCCTCACTGATTTTGCTGAGCCCCTGCACACTCTGTGGCTGCATAGCAATGGCGTTTCTTCTCTCTCGGTGATAGATCTGTCCAGGACTTTCATCCTCTAAAGAAAGAAGAAAAATGAAAAGACTCTAGAAACTACTTTAAGGAGGATAAAAAAAAAAGTCATCAATTAGGTCTCCCTGCCCCAAAGAGAAACCTTTTTCTCCTTCATGGCAACTCTGCAAGCTACACACCTGTGATGGGATATTTGCAAGACAAAATTGCCTATGAATAAGGGTCCAAATTACACATGGAAGGATGAAGCAGCAAATGAGCCTGTTAAAGGAAGATGCAGGGGGTCGGCAAAGTATCAGCAGCAGCTTATGACTGATTCTGCCAGTGAGGCTTTCCTGGCAGACATGCCTACATCCTGCAGGTCCAATGTGGGACTGAAACCTTTGCCAGCCTCAGACTCTGAGTGTTCAGCTTCCCTTTGCCTCTTTAGGAAGCAGTGCCTCTGGGGTGATGAGAAGTCCAGCTGCCCAGGAGGGTTCTAGGTGGCTGCAAGGGGTGTTAGGGCTTTGCTCTTCAGAGGATGACCTGTTAGAAAGGGATCCAAGAATTCTTGTGTGGGTTTTTGTTGTTGTTTAAGTCAGACCTGTAACCCACTGAGAGATTTAACAGAGCCAGAAATGAAACTGAACACCCGTTGGTGACAAGGAAGAAAGGTACCAATCAGGAAAACACGCAGAACCTCCTGAGAGACCTTCCTGCTTCTGCTCATAAAGCAAAGTTGGGAACCAAGAAGAAAACTGAGTGAAAAATCAAGTGTGAGGTAGCTGTGTGGGGAAGGAGGGCAAGTGTCAGTGATGGTGGCACCCATCCTTGCTCTGCAGAGGGAGGAGGGCATATGGTCCTTCAAACAAGTAAGAATCAGTTTGAGGAAATTCCACAGTTAGTATTCCAGCCCCCTGATACTTCATCTCCTTTCAATCTGTAAGAACCTCCTGCAAATATAATCGGATGACCATTCTGTAATAGTGGATCCAAGAACCAAGGCACACACTGAAACCAAATTGGCCAGCTGAACCCACAACAAGTGGACCAACCTGTCAGAATCACACACACACACACACATTCGAAACTAGTGTACTCCCAAAGCAGCTCTGGATATAATCAGCAGCCTGCACTCTGGCAGGTAGGTGCTGATGGAAGCAAAGCTGTCCAGGTACCGCTTAGGCATCTCATTCAAAACATATTTCATATTCATTTAAAAAAAAAACCACAATATTTTGGTATAACTAACAACATTATTATACATGTTGAATGGACAAATTTCAAACACATTTTATTTCAACATATAAACTTATCTTCCAAGTCAACCACAATGTAGATATGACTGGATAAGAGACCCCCAAACAGAAAAACTATGCTCTAGCATTTTCATAGCTCTTTGTTCCAGTTCAGAAGAAAGCAGAGCAGTACACAAAGACAACCCATAAAAATACAAGCTAAAATAACAACTATTTTGTGTTGACTAAGGACTTGAACTACTTAAAGTCAGTAGCAAGTTCAGTCTTTGTGCCTACGTGGAGAAGTTGAAAGATGAACAATGGATTGATTGTTTTAGCCTAGCAAATGACTTGCAAAATAGAATGGACCATGAGGTCTGTTTTAGTCTTTACAGTGAATTTGCTGACGACTACAAGGTAACTTTGAAAAATTATTTTAGTATTGTTCTGTGCAGACCCTCAACCAAAACCTTACATTAAAAGGGGAGTAAATTATGGGTTTAATCTATCAAATTTTATAAAAAACACAAAAATTGCTGTAATCCCACATGTTCACATTGACCTTTCCAAAACCAATTCAAATCATGCTTTTGCTAATTTTAAAATAAACAACCAAAAAGTAATGAAAAAAAAAAAAAAAAGAACTTTTTTATTTTCCCTTCTGACTAACTCTTTTAGGCATTGGTCTACCCCTGCACTTTATTAGCACTGAAGCTGCAGGCTATAGAAACAGGGTTTTTGCAGTTATGTAAGAGCAACTGGGTGTCAAAAACACTAAAACCTATGTCGGTTTTATAAAAATTCCTCTAGCCTACAAATGGCCCAAGTCATATTTTCCACTAATTTAGGCTCTGTATAAAACCTTTATTTTAAATTTCAACCTGAAGTGAACTTGTAGCAGTGAGGCACACATTCTGTAGAATGGGACCTTCTTTTGGAGGCCAGAAAGCCCTTCCTGACAGGGGCTCTGACACGTAATTAGCATTCTCTAAGATGAATACCCAAGCTCTACTAATCTGTTCCAGGTTTAAAACGGGATTTCCTTGACTTAATCTTCCTAAGAAGAAATTAACTTTTCTTCTCTTGAAACTGCATCCCTATAATAAACTCAAGTTTCTTTGAAATGATGTCTTTCTATGATGAGAATTGGAATCAACTTCACCAATAATTGAATAATTGGTGTGGTCTGATCAGAAAGTTCTCCCACCCCCCTCAGATCCCAATCTCCTGGGAAAAGGAAGTTAGGGGAGAAGAAAAGGGGGATGAATGGAAATGGGGGATACCTGCTAGCTAAATGATTTTTTCTTAATGAGTTACCCCAGCATGTATGAATATTAAAATAAAACAAGGAGTAACCAAAGTTCAAATATTTAATACAAGAAGAAATTAAGTAATTCCTCTAAATGCAGGCAAGAAGGTTTGTAATGTAGAAACTTTTTTCAGGAGACTTTTAACTTTTATAGTAGTTGATGCTATAACATTTTAACCCAACACCCGTTCCCCCCAAAAAAAAAAAATTCTAGCAGACAAATATTTCTTGAAGTTTACCTCCTGCACTGAGCTGCTTTTGATGCACATTCAGATGAAAACCTGACAGTACACACACTCCGGAATACAAACAGCTACAAGGCTTGAAAGCACTCAGTATACAGTGGAAGAGATACTTTCCGAGGAATATTCCTGCCTGCTCTTATAAATTCAGCAACCACTTCAGCAAGCCAAAAGACGAAAGCTGTCTAATCTTGTTCATTTGAGCTGACTGTTCAATAAAGTTTGAGAGTCAGTGCAGACAGGCTACGCCAGGCCAAATTATTGACAGAAACATACTGTCCACCATGGCAACAAGCAGAAGTCTGCTACAAAAATGTAAGCAAACAGCCCACTGCTCCAAGAGCATCTGCCAATGGACTTTAACAGCCAAACACAAGGCAACTGTTCGAGCTTCTCTATGTTTAACAGCTGCAAGCTCGGGGGTCAAACTGAAACATGCAATTCACTCAAAACTTTCAGGGAAAAAAAATCACTTTAAATACTGTCATCATAATCCTACTTGGTACCTCCTTCTTTCTGTATATCCATGCTCAAGATGAAGTGAATGAATTCCTGCCCTCAAATGAAGAGCTGCCCAAAGCATTGTGTTTGAAAAACTGTCCAAGATTTGCCAAACTCATCCAAAAGCAACCTACTTGGGGTGCCACACTCTTGATGCCAGAAACTTGGAAATATCCAAAGCTGCTTCACCATATACAGTGCTTAGGACACTGATAATAAAAAGGTCTGGAGAAAGTCACCCTGTTGCATGAAGCAGGATTCGAATACACACTCCTATGCCACCAACTCCTATAAGGTTTCTTGTAATGGAAGAGGTAAGCATCTTTTTCGGAGAGAAAAGTTTCAGACAATTCTTTCAGTGCAAAAACAAAACTCATGTCAGGCATCACTAAGTAAGGACACCCTCCTGTCACCCAATGAAACTGGTGGATGAGGACAATGCATGTGCTTACTCTCTTTCCCTGAACACCGATTTTCAACTACCCCCCCAACCCCATTTGAATACCATTTCTCCTGTCTTGCCCCAAGAGCTAGAAGCCACCAAGGGTAAAAAAGCAGACAATACTTACAACTCAGTCCCCAAGCTCTGGCTAGCTACTTCCTGCAAACTTCTCTTGGTGAGCTCTTTCTAGCTGTGCGCACGCACCCTCTAGAAACATTCTCGGTGTCTCTCGGCCTCTCTCTGGCTCTCTCTCTCCCTCTCCCAGGCAGTGCGGCTCCCATTAGAGGAATTAAAAGTGGTTGGAGCCATGCTAAATTTAACAAGCTCATTAGTATTCTTCCCGAGTGCTTCGGAGTGAACTCTCCCTATTCAAGCCGCTCTCTCCAGCAGAAGGGTCAGGCGGCTAATCATTAAATCAAACTAATGTCACCCTATCACAATCAGCCCCAGAGAAGGAGGGTTTATTATTTCAGTTTATGCTAAATAAACGGTTTTACAAATGGTCCCCAAGCAAGGTCAACAGCAGCTTCAATTACAAGACAAACTTAACAAGAGTTGCTATAAACCAAGTACTCCGTATTGACTTAGGGACAGGCTCAGCTCCACATATTGCCACTAGCAGGATTGTACAGGAATGCATATTGTAAAATAAAGGAAGGGGTGAGCTTTTTTCTTTGCCAGAATTTGCGACTTGCACAGCGACTCTTCATTCACCTCTCTCCAACCAGCTAGCCGCTCAGCTCAATTCACCCCACACAAAGGCTGGAGCCCAGACCTCAATGGACCGAGTGAAACATGTTCAAAACTAGGCTCTCTATTGTGACTGAATTTCTTAACATCTTTTCAAAAAGCGGAGAATGCCTTGAGGCTAAAGGAAGAAACAGGCTAATGGTGAATTGGGAATTCTGAGCAAATTTCAGAGCCCTTTCCTCCTAGCTTTTGAGGTTGAAAGCAAGCTCTTTCCTTTCAAGTTTCAAAGTCCTTTTTCCTCCCGCAGTGTCACAGAAGGATTTGAAAAGAAGGTAATTGTGCTCGCAGTCTCCCTGATCAGAGCTTACGTCCTATTTCTGGTATTTCGGAATACTTCTTGCAATAATAGTGCATATAGCTCAATCCCTTAACCGGCCTGCACTCTGCAATTGCTCATTAAATGAACAATTGCGGGTATAAAATGCCTTTTATGTTCAAGGTCTGGATATAAGATAAGCATTCTAGGACTCTAAATTTGGTTTACTAAGGAAACTCTCCATCATTAAATTACAAAACTGAAGTCAGAATATCAGGCTTTCCCAGAAAAGTGGCACTCAGGTTGCAGTGAACCAAAAAGAAGGGCGGGTGGGGGGTGGGGAGGAGGCAAGAAAATGTTAAGGGGGGAGGAAGAAAAAGACTGGATACTCAAATTTCTAGCTGAATGGGATTTTTACAAGAAAACCATATTCCCGGGTTTAAGGTCTGAGTTTGTGAAAGCTCATAATTTTGATATGGAAAGATAAGGTCATCTTTGAGTAAATTAAAACACAGGGCCGAGGCTCAATAAATATGCAGGTGACTAGTTCTGACCTCTCGTCAGCAAACATCTCTCCCTTCTTGAAGACCATAAATAATCCAACATCATTCACATCATCTCATTTGATCCTCTCAGCCACCCAATGATGGTGTTAGGAGAGGGCATTAGGCTTGGTTCCCAAACTGAAATCCCAGGGAAGTGATGCACAGAGAATTCCATCCACTCCTTACTGAATCCACACAGCCATGTGAAGGAGGCATGTGTTCCTACRGAGGTCTTTGGAAAACATAAACCCAGTCTTGGAAAACACCAAGTGGGACCCTCACAACAAATCTATGGTGAGACTTTGAGCCAGCGGAGCACATGGACAGGAGCACCATTCTCTCCCTCCCAGGCCCAAGACACCAGCAGGCCTCACTCAGTGCTGTCATCCACTCCAGGACACTTGAGGCTCAGCCAGTGGCTTTTGTGTATTCCTGGACTTTTTAATGTGCTTCCAGCCCCACCCTCCTGTCCTGCTCAAGACACAGGGCATCATTTTCTGCTCCCTCCCAGGCAGCTGCCTGGCTGTGTTTGAAGAGGGCATTCTTTCATTTCTTTCCTCTTCTGCATTTGTTGCATCTTATCAGCTTTTATGCCTTTGGTTATTTACATTTTGATGCTCTCTGAATAAAAACCAATGGAAACCCAGTCCTCTCCCTTCCCAGTTTCAGAATCCTCCCTATGACTTTGACCAAAGAGAGATCAGAAATGAAAAAGAGAGGAGCCTAAGTGTATTCACGAGCAGGGCAGAATTATGTCAGGCAGGGGGAATCAAGTTCCCCTAGTTTATCACAGCAGAATAGCACCCCCTTTCCACCTAGAGTGCAGTTGCGCCTGAACCAGGGGCTGTTCCCTAGAATGCCTAGAGCTTGGCTTCCAAAGAGCCTGAACAAACAATGCCTTCTCTAAGAACATCSCCAATACCCTTGGGGTCAGACAGTGCCCTTGTGTGGCTACACATACATCTCCCATTGACAATGACGGATGACAGAAGGAGGGGCCCAGATGGATCAAGAGGGAGCGCTGGGCTTTGTTTGCAACCTTTAAAACCCCACTGCCAGGCCTGCAACTTGAGAGGGCTGCAGCAGGATTTGAAGCTTCAGACAAATTCAAGTGACAACCCTCCCTCAAAGATGACGGGGCAGCTCCCTCTCCCTACTTTCATCAACCAGGAGGTCCCGGGGTCAGAAGAGAGAAAGTAAAAACTGTCCCCACCATCAGAGACACATGAGCATCTTCATTATTTGAACATTTCTAAGGCTTTTTTTTTTTTTTTTTTTTGGCCAAAGAATAAAAACTAGTCCAAATTGACCAACAATGTACTAGCCCTTGGCTAAAGCTATGTTCTCCTAAGAGCAGCAGGTGGGTGCTCAAGCCAAGGCTAAACTTTCACCTCACCACTTAGCTTACAGAGCTCCCTATAACTTCAGAAGTGGTCCCTGGGATAGAAAGGATCAGGCAGACAACAAGATAAGGTTTTAGGTAAACTTACAATGCAAAACCTCAAGTGGCTGCTACCTTCACTGCAGCACAGCTTTGACCAGCGTGCAGGCCAACAGTCTCTTACCTCTAGGAAAACATAATGACAAGGATAAGCTGATAACACAGGCTTCTCTGTTGCCTCATCAAGTGGGCCTTGTGGCCTCCAGAGTTTCCATTCGTTTTCTTTACACTCCTGAAACCCTCCCAAATAAGAGATCTACAACCCCAATCTTTCCCTTGGGAGGATGTTCCTGAAGGTTGATGACAAGATCTCTGTGACTTGGCTGAACACTGCCCTGAGCACATATTTCAGTCCAAGTTCAAATGCAATGGTACTAACCAACTTTCAAAGTTCCCCACAGATAAAACTAGCCAAACCCYACAAACATCAGAGAAAGGAAAACACAAACAACACTGTACCCTGGAGGGGGCCCTTGGGCTCTCCTTAAAAGGGGTAAAGGGCATTCTTTCTTATTTTCTATGAGCTTCCAAAGACCCTTCCTTGAATGAAGAATCCTAAGACTCTTACTGGAATTAAGAATTCTCAAACGACATGAAGCTTATTCCATTAGCCCGCTATTAGTTGCTAGTCTCTGCTTACACATTGTGAGTTAATGAGTGACATCAAAAGCCGTAAAATAAATTCCCAGGAGGGTCAAAATTTTTCCTTCTGCTTAATAGCACGTTTATGCCTATCTGCAAGTAACAGTCTCCTAAACATTTAGGTATTAGAGATTTCTTTGAGAACTCAGTTTTAGTCTTTTTAAGCTAAGATTTGCAGAGTCTCCCCTGCACCTCCTCTCGTCTTTGCACATACAGGCCTGAGCTATTAAAATTCCATAATGAGATCCACAGTCAACAGTTTGACAGAAACAATGAAAGTCCTGCTCACAGGCCAGGGTGTCCAGGTTGCAGTCTCCTGCCTGCATCCTCTGATGGAACAATCCTATCACTCCAGAGATCAAGCTCAGCCCTGGTGGTACAGGACTTAGAGCCTGGTTTTCCTTTAAGGCAGAGGGAATAAATCAATGCACCTCGMAGTTCCTTCCTGCAGCACTTTGAAATGATGGTTCCCAGGTTTCCATCTTTCCCTCTTGACAGCAAAGTCCCACTGCTGAACATTGCTACCATTTTCTTAATGACAGAAATGAACACAAACTTAACTGGGTTCATCTGGTGTGTTTATGTTGCATGTTTTTGTCTTTAGAGGATCATGTAATGAGAAAGCCGAAGCATATGGTGGTATTATATTTTTAATACAATTTTACAGACCATGCTGACTCCGATGCAGAAATCACACCCTCCTGGAGAGTACATTCAAACATCAAGATAATACCATTATTGTACCCAAATGAACTGGAGGTCACCATGACACCCTGAGGGACAGTGAGCAGAACTCACCAATCAATGCTGAATCTGCCTCTGGACAAAGGCCAGGTGCTACCCATCTCAAATTTCTGTGACAAGGAAAAAAAAAAAAAAAAAAACCCTCAAGCTATGATCCGCCGTGACCTCAGTTATGAAATGTGCATTTGAGAAACCCAAATTAAAATACCACATTTTGATTCTTCCCAATTTTAACTACGCAGTCAGTCCAGTTAGCCATGAGAAGTCTGCCACTTTAGAAAACTCTCAGATAATGGCTCAGCTACAATTTAAGAAAGAAGAGCTGAGGGCCACAAAACCTAAGGTCTCCCAAAACACATCTTCATGATCACAGCCAAGACAGGATGCTCTGCCACCTCAGCAGCTGTCCTCTTCTTGGGCCAGAGGCCAGAGGAGATGAGCAAGGCAGACACTGACAGAGGCAGCAACAACCMCATCACCCCTGCAGGGAGACTGGGGAGCCAGACACAAGGGCAGGCTTTCTTCTTAGCCTTGCTCCAGTCTTCCAGGCACATTCAGGAGAACACAATRTCCCGAAGCCAAGGGAAACGCATTTTTACTTAAAATGAGTTAACAACAAAAGCAATTGATAACACAAACAGAAGATCAAATGTATCTATCCTTCTAAAATACAAATAATGTTAGTCCATTCATACTTCCTACCAGTCTTTCTCAAGCTTTCCAACTAAAATCTATTAACCATGCACCAATTAATGACAGCTGCTTACCCGGAGGTAGGAAGTGCCTCACCTGTCTGGTTCCCACAGTCTTCAGTATACCCTCATGTGAAGGTACTGTCTTTATCCTCATTAAC